TTCTCCCCTTCTTTAGGACTCCTGTGAATCTGTGTTTGACCTTCAGGTATGCTTATCTTTAGGCCCTGTGAATGACAAACAGTCATCTGTTTGTTTTGGGTGTTGAATGTTAAACTGCAGCTTTGTGTAACAAAAGAAACCCCCACCTGTTTCCACACAGGTGGTCCCTCCAGGTGACCCCCTCTGGGTGGCTGTGTGTTTTCTCTTGAAGTAGGCTCTCATTTACCTCTTCATATTTGTCTAATATTAACACAAGCCCCAGCTCTCTAATCCCATGGTGGGTCTTTCTGGCATGACCAGCTTCCACTGTGTGTCACCTCTTTAGTATAAGCTATCAGATGAGGACCAAGGGGCCCACCACAAATCACAAGGCAGTCCTATCACTCTGGAAATTCCAGTGGTTTAGAGGTTCCCTCCCAGGAGCCAGGACAAAGGCCAGAACTCTCTTTGGGATTGTTAGTTGCCATTGAGTCCATTCTGCCTCATGGTGACCCCATGTGTGCAGAATAGAACTGCTCCATAGGATTTTCAAGGCTGTGACCTTTCATAAGCAGATCAGCAGGCCTGTCTTCTGTGACGCCTCTGGGTGGGTTCAGACTAACAACCTTTTGGCTAGTAGTTGAGCATTTAACTGTTTGTGCCACCCAGCTGCCATAGAGCTCTCTTTAGGTGAGATATAATTCTTTACCACAGAGTTAGAATTGAAATACGTTCATCATACTAAAATACTGAAAAACATGAAGAGAAAATGATAGTGAAAATCCGGCCAGGAAATCCATGGTTTAAGGACAGCTGCTCTCAATCTAGTTAAGTATACTGTTGGTAGGTGTGTACCTTAGGTTTCTGTAGAAGACATTTTATCATTTCATGAATTAGTTTTACATATTTTTCCCAGGGCCTTAAAGATTTTTACACTATCATGTTAATAAGAAACCCTGGTGGTGGAATGATTAAGAGCTCAGCTGCTAACCTAAAGTTTGGAAGTTTAACTCACCTAGCTGCTGTATGAGACAAAGACCTGGCAGTCTGCTTCCCTAATGACTACAGTGTAGAAAAACTTATGGTGCAGTTCTACTGTGTCAAATGGGGTCGCTAGGAGTCAGAATCGACTTGACTGCACCTATCAATAACATCGTTATGTTAATAGTAGTAAAATTAGTATCTAAATTGTGTATATGCTTATGCGTGTGCTTATATAATGACATAACTAATTTTTTGTTGTTGGTTTTTAACTTGTTCCAAGTTTTCTCAGTTAGGAAACCCTCTGCCAGTGTCTTTTCTGTGGCGTCTATTTTACTTGCCTTTTTGATTCTTTGAATTCAGTTCTAGAACCCAATCACCTGCATTGTCATTTATTAAGATGTTTGACCCAAGGCAAGTTAGAGTCTGTGACATAGTTTTGTTTCTCTCTCAGGTGAGAACCAATCCTTTCTGTTATGATCACAAGGTTAGATCCTAACCTTTCTTTAAAGCCTCTTATTGACTCTTTGTCATCGATAATGGGATGGATCGTTTCTCTGGTTTATCTATTATACGTTACTTGGTGGATAGAACATACTATTTATCACTTGGTTAAAGAAAACCACTTGTTGAATTATTTTTTCATTTCTATATATCTTTTATCATCCACAGAAATGGAAAATCTGCAGTGGATCTCGTATCTTCAGTACTCCTTAAGCAGTAACTCCCCGTTCTCTACTCCCCTGAGTCCCTGCTAGTAGCTAATAAACTTTGGTCCTTTTACTTGAATCATAGATTAAAATTAGGGACGTATAACTTCATGAAAATGATGTTACATGGACCCAGCCATAGCCTTATCTCAATTAAAACTGATTCATATGCCTCTTGCCTCCCTTCATATTGTGTGAAAATAAGAACAACCCTCCCCCCACCACCAGGGCACGATGCACCCTTGGAGAAATGAGTGTTTTATGTTAGCTACTATTGATATACAAGGATTTGTCCCCAGAAGGAGTGGGTGTGCTTGTGTCCTGCTCAGAAGGCTTTGTAAAGGGGCATAATGTGGATGAACTACAGGAACCTAGTCGGCCTGGGTGAGGTAGAAGTCAGGACCTGCCCTGGGATGGCTTTGTATTTTCCATTGTGAGTCTCTTGAGAGCACCTGCCTTTCTAGACTGAGTTTCCCTTCCCTTTTTTGTGGGAATGATGGAGACTTTGTGGATTCAGAACTGAAGAGCTTCACAGTGTGCCATCTGCACTTTGACCTTTCTCTTTCTTCAAATGGTCTGCCCTGAGTTGATGGTGGTTCCAGAACTTGAGTGTGCATAAACCCTGTGGCCAGCATTCCGCACATCCAGTGTCCTGCTTACTCCCCTATAGTTTTCATTTCGTAGCTCCTAGAAGAATGCTTAGAGGTTTGCACCTTTAAAATGATCCCTAAACGTTTAAAAGGAAGAAGGCAGTGGCTCCTTTAAAAAAAGAAAAAATATTGTGGTAAAATATATATAACTAAAGTTTCGTGTTTTTCACTATTTTTAGCTGTACAGTTTACTGTCGTTAAATATACTAACTATGTTGTGCAACCGACTCTACTATCTAATTCCAAAACTTTTTCATCATTTCAAACAGGAACTCAGCACCCCTTAAGCAATAACTCCCAATTCCCGCTTCCCGGAGTCCCTGGTAGCCATTAACAGACTTCGGTCTCTATGCTTTTGCCTCTTATTTTATGTAAGTTATATCATATATTATTTTTCCTATTGTGTCTCACCGATTTCACTTAGCATAATGTTTTCAGGGTTCATCCATGCTGAAGCATGAACGAAATTTCTCTTTCATGTGATGTGTTGTTTTGTATTATCCATTCATCTGTTGATGGCCACTTGAGTTGTTACCACCTTTTGGCTGCTGTGAACAGGGTTGTAATGCACATTGGTATGCAAGTATATTTTTGAATCCCTGCTTTCACATAGTTTGGGTTCAAACTGCCAATTTAGAGATGGAGTGTCTGGGTCATATGGTAATTCAATATTTAACTTTTTGAGGAGCTACTGAGTTATTTTCCACAGTGGTTGTGTTATTTTCTGTTCTCACCCACAGTGTGTGAGGGTTCCAGTTTCTCTACATCCTCACGAACACTTGTTGTTTTCCAGTTTCTGATGTAGCCATCCTAGTGGGTGTGAAGTGGTATCCCATGTGGTTTTGATTTTCATTTCTCTAGTGCCTAGATGACCCTAAGCGTCTTTTCATATGCTTGTTGGGCGTTTGGTTATCTTCTCTGGAGAAATGTCTAAGTCCCTTGACCATTTTTTTAAACTTTGGAAGTAAATCGCCTGGCCTTTTTTCCTAGTTTATCTTAGACTGGAAGTTCCCCTGAAACCTGTTCAGCATCACAGGAACATGCAAGTTCCCACTGACAGACCGGTGGTGGTTGTGTATGAGGTGTATTGGTCTCGAATTGAAGCCGTGTTTTCTGTGTGAGGGGCATGAATTCTACCTCTGAACTATCACTGTCCCTGTTTTCCATCATACTCCCACTGCCATGGAGTCAATTGCAAGTCAGAGTGACCCTATATGACAGAGTAGAACTGCCCCATAAGGTTTCCAAGGCTGTAGATCTTAATTGAAGTAAATTGCCACATCTTTCTCCCATGGAGTGGCTGGTGGGTGGGAACCACTGACTTTTTGATTAGCAGCCAAGTAGTTTAACCATTGCACCATCGGGCTCCTCTGCTATAATAAGGGTGGCTATTTGACACACAACGTAGCAATAACATAGACAAAGTCAGTGGGTGTCATTCCTTCTCATGTAAACAATGCAAACCTAAGAAGGAGAAAATAGGCTTTGCCTTCATCCTTCAGTCTTACTCTTTCTCATACAGCAACCAGCTGCCACAGTGAGAATGCAGGCATTTGGTGATGGAGGCAGAGTAGGCAGGAAGCAGGAGCCTGGGCCACTGATTACTTCACAGAGCGCCTTTCACATCCTGCACTGTAACCTCTGGACTTCCTGTTATAGGAGGAGATAAAATGATAGAAGTCATACTTGTTTTGGTTTTTGTGGAGTCACTGCGGTGTTCCCTACCTTAGGTGATAAGCCTCGCACAGGTCGAAGGCTGGGAGAGACGAGCAGGGCCTGGCTGGACCACTGAAGCCAGCAGTGGGGTGGGAGCCACAGACACGGCTGGTGGGCGGGCTTGGACAGGGCATCTGTGACAGAATATTCCTTCCTTTAGTTACAGGCTCCAGAGCAGTGAGTGTTTGGATGTGGATACCCCAGGGTAAATTGTGAAAATGCAGATTTTTATCTTGGTTTTTGCTTGAGATTCTCTATATCAAACAAGCTCCCAGTTTATGCTGAAAATAACTATTATAGAAATAGGATGTGAGTTAAAACCAGAAAATGCTATTAGAGAAATGAGTAATAGGCTGGATAATGCTTAGAGAGCAGCAGCTGGTATACAATACGATCATGCGAGAGAGAAAACATTTACACAGAGACCAAGAAATAAAACAGTAGGTGTCAGCTGGGTGGGGTGGAGGGTAGGAAAGAAACAGGAACAGACGCGGGGGCCGCTCCTTAGAGAAAAGTGAATGATTTTCTGATTCATTGGTTGATCAATTATTGTAAGGTTGACAGAGAATGTTTCCAGATTCCTGGAAAGACTGTTGGTGTCGTGGATAGAGAGTGAAGGAAAAAAAAAAAAAAAGTAAAAATCTCAAGGGGAAGAAAGAAAGGTTATTTACAAATCAACACGAAAAATACTGATCACATATTACCATGGTATAAGTGAAATCGAAGTTTTAAAAAAAATAAAGCATAACAAAAGAGTTTCAACTGCACATAATTAGAAATCAGTGACGCAGGATGAGTTCATTGACTTAAACTGAAAAAATACATTGTTAAAATTCACTAATGTTTATACCAAATACAAGTGTGTAGGTTCTATAGAGGTGAACCCTTCATAGGTGAATCCTCAACCTAAGTGTTGGACCTCTGACACCATGGGGGAAGCCAGATTCACGTGTTCCAGCCTGGGCAGGCCTGGATGCCTCTGGTGCTCTGGGATAAGGAGGCCTCTCCTTCTGTGACATGGTGGCCAGAGGAAGAGGCCTGTGGAGCTGCATGAAGAATGCAAGTGTGTGCTCTGGAAGGCTGGAGCAGAATCTGCCTTAAGTGTGAAGGCCCTCAGAGTGGAGCATGGCCTTGAGCCTGGAGGGAGACCCTGTCCAGGGAAAGAGCTGAAGACCAGGAACTTCTTACTTCCTCCTTACTCATCACTGTCTCCTTTTTCCATTTCAGGTCCCAGGTGTGGCGCAGGGAGAGTTAGTTCAGCCTAGGCAGCTGGGGACTAAGGGCAACCTTATACATCCCTGCAATCACGAGTAAGGATTTTAGCTGCTCTGACTGGTGTGTGGACGAAATATCATTCATGTGCCTCCAGACTTCCTAGTGGCTCTGCTTCCCCTGCCATTCCTCTTCTTGAAGTGGCTTCCTGGGCTTAGAGAGCACATTCACTTAGAATTTCAGAAGCTGAAGCCAGGAAATGGTGCGTATTACAGAGAACTGGGGTAGTGTAACTCTAGGGGGTGAGGCTGTTGTGAATTATTGGGGTAGTGTGTGTTCCAGGCCTTGAGGTTCCTCAGTGAGGTAAATAGGTGGCAGAGGAGACCATGGATCTCAGACCTAAGAGGCATCCTGCTTGCCCTGCTCCACTGTCACTGGGTCCTTCCTCTACACACGTGGATTTTCAAGCATTGGATGCCTGGGGCCACCTTCCTTCTGTGACTCTCATGCATCAAGGGGTTTTAACATCCCTGTCCTGGGCCTTGGTTCTCTGAGTTGAATGACAGAACCTCCTGACCATAGTCTGAAGACGGAGAAGCTCTGGCTGAGGAGACTGAGCCCCAGATCCTCCAGAGCCATCCTTGTTCCTCCCTGCACAGTTTTTTTGGCCTCCCCGAGGCACTGGAGCTTTTTCTGTGCAGTTGTATAATTGCAGCTCCACCTCTCACGTGGTATGATGTGGTGGAAAACTGGGAAGAGAGTTGGTAGTGAAAGACCCTGACTGTTAATGGGGTCCTGGGTGGGGCTTGATCCTCTCATGAACTCACCAGTGAAATGCGTCAAAGGACAGTGAGTCCAGCTGGATCATGTGTGGGGTCTCCAGATCCATCCTTGGAGGGATGCTCTTTGAGGCTTTCCGGTGCGTGGGAAGCATGTTTCCCCGGTTTGTGTCTTTGTCCTCCCACCCATCTCTGCCTAGAGCTGGTAGTGAGTCCCTGTAATTTTCACTTGCTCTCCACAGTCTCAGATAACCAAAACCAAACCCGTTGCCATCGATTCCAACTCACAGGGACACTGTAAGACAGAGTAGAACTGCTCCATATGGTTGCCAGGAACCTCCTGGTGGATTTGATCTGCCAGCCTTTTGGTTAGCAGCCACCATACCTCTTAACCACTACGCCACCAGGGTTTCCACTGTCTCGAATGGGAAATTAAAAGTGTTCTGTTTTGCTAGACAAGCTCAGCGTATGAGATAGTGTATTTTTAACTTTCTGGGTTTACAGTTTCCATTGGAAGAAAATTTCTAGATCAGTTTGTTTCTACTGAGAACTTTTCAATTTAATGGATATAAGCTTCTTAGATACTGAAAAATGCCTGTTTTAACTGATGTAAGAGTAAAAATTCAAAAGTAAAACACGTTATTTCTCCTACTTTGTTACCCAAAAGGTGGCTTGGAATTTACACTTGCTGTTTAATTAACACATTTCCCTGAAGTTTTTCTAGCAATAGAGAGCTTAAATCTAATTTCTTGTAAAACTCCCTAGTACTGTATACGGTTGAGCTTTGTTGTTTTGACCATACTGCCAAGAATGGACGCTTGATTGTGTCCAGTATTTCACTCTTATAAAGCTTGCTTTCGTGAATATAAATGTAAATTTCTAAGATCCAGGTATCAAGTGTTGAGACATACAAGCCCTTCTGAACTAAGACAAGGTAAATCAAAATGAAGGAGTTTTCACATGACTGTAAAATTATTATGTGAAAATTGTATTTCTTTCCTGTTTTAAGCCATTGTTTTGTTTTTATTGTCAACTGTATCAGAAACTAGGACTGCATAAACAGTTCATTGTGTAGTTTAATAAGAATCTAAATCCCTGATAATAAATAGATCTTGTCAGTTTTTATGGCCTCCCAGTGTCCCACCCTGCTATCATCTACCTCCTGCTTGGAGATGATTGCTGTCTGCATTTGAGAAGTTTATTATTATTATAGTTATTATTTCTATTATTATAACTTTGACAGCTAAGTCTTTTTTGTAATAACTTTTCATTGTTTTTTTTTAATGAAGGTTTACACAGCAATTTCAGTTCCCATTGAATAGTTTTTCTGCAGATTGTTCAGTGACATTGGTTACACTCTTAACGATTTGTGAATATTCTCAATATTTCTGTTCTGGTTTTTCCCTTTGCATCAGTCTAGTTTTCCTGCCCCCTTACGTTCTTATCTTTACTTTCAGAAAAATTGTTGACCATTGAGTCTCATATAGCTGATTTTTTTAATGGAGCATAGTACTCACAGGTGATGCTCTTTATTTTGTGAGCCAATATGTTATGTAGCTAAAAGGTGACCTTGGGCTGGTTTCGGTTCAAGGTTGAAAGAGTATCTCAGGGTAACATTCTTGGGGAATCCTCCAGTAAATCTGTTTTATTTTTGTTGTTTTGGATTTTTTTTTGATAATATGAAATTCTGTTCCACATTTTCCTCCCATTCTATCAGGGTCCATCTTTTGTAACCCTGATTAGAATGGTCGGTAGTGGTAGCTAGGTACATCTTATCTAGTTGTTCTGGTCTCAGGGTAAGTGAGGCTGTGGTTCATGTAGACTGTTTGTCTTGTGGACTAATTTCTTCTTTGAGTGTTTGGTTTCATTCTTTCTGTTTTGCTGTAGAGGAGTAGAGAACAATAGTTGTATCTTAGATGGCGGCTCACAAGCTTTTAAGACTCTAGTCACTTCTCACCAAACTAGAATGTAGAACAGAAACTATGAACTGTATTATGCCAGTTGACCGAGATGTCCCACAACAGTATGTTCCTAATCCTTCAAACCCTAGAAACCAATCCCTTGGACTGTTTAGTTACATCTAAAGAAGCATCGCTGAATGTGACACCAAAGTCTGAATCCGTAGTGTCTGTGTTGTTTAGTTTTATCTCTTTTGAGCTTTCTGTAAATTTAATTATACCTGTCTCTGAGTTCTTCTGTGACTTGTTTTCCTGAGAATGCTTTTGAGTTTAATACATCCTGGTGTATGTCGGTCTAGTCTACCCATCTTGCTATGTATGCAAGCTACCATTGTATGAATGGGCCAGAATTTACCATTTACCTACCCATTGTAGAGCTTACAGGACTTGTATGGTTCAGGCGTAACTCTTGCTCTTGTGATGCTGCTCTTCTTCTCTTTACTAACTCTTAAGTGCTCTTGCACAATCATCTAGTGAGGAGAAATCTCTGTGTTGCACATCATAGCCAAGTTCAGATTTACTAAAAGAGCCAAGGTATTTTACAAGTTTTCTCTCCCACAAAATATGCACATATATCTTCTTTTTCCATCGGCTTATTGTAGCCCTGGTGGCGCAGTGGTTAAGAGCTCTGCTGGTAACCAACAGGTCAGCAGTTCAAATCTACCAGCCGCTCCTTGAAAACCGTATGTGGCAGTTCTACTCTGTCGTATAGGGTGGCAATGAGTCAGAATCGAATCAACGGCAATGGTTTTGTTTGTTTCTTTTATCTAATGACGTAATCTTTGGTCTTATAATCAGTGTATAAAATGATATCTTTGATTTTATTGTTCAAGTTCTCTACCCTACTTCACTACTGAAAACACTGTGCATATTTCCCATTGTTAACTTCTATCTCTATGACTTTTTAGGATGATGCAGTGGTTGAGAGCTCTGCTGCTAACCAGGTCAGCAGTTCGCATCCACCAGCTGCTCCTTGGAAACTCTATGGGGGCAGTTCTACTCTGTCCTGTGGGGTTGCTGTGGGTCAGAATCGACTCGTTGGGGACTGGTTTTGTTTTGTTTTTTGTAAACTTTGGAAAATTTCCCACTAGTACATAACTTCTTCTCACTCATTTTTGCTGCCATTTGATGAATTGCTGTGAATTTTAATATAGTCTTGATCGTTTTAAGATTTTTTCTCTATTCTGATGTCATAGGATCAGTTGCTTATAATTTCTGAAAGTGTTGTAATTCTACGTTCTCATATTTAAAGTTGATCTACTTGGAATTGATTTTTGTATGTGGAGTACATAGGAATAGACTATTCTAATTAGATAATTATCTGATAAAGAACAAACATTTTTCTTTTACTTGATTCAGACTTATGGCTACACCATGTGTTTCGAAGTAGAACTTCACTCTACAGGATTTTCAGTGGCTTATTTATGGGAAGTAGACTGCCAGACTTTTCTTCCAAGGTGCCTGTATCTTTCCTTCAATCTCCAGCCTTTTGCTTAATATCTGAGCACTTAATCGTTTACACAACCCAGGGACTCCAATTAGTTGATTCTGCCCCACATATTAAATTGTGAGTGCTTTCTACCACTGTCCTGCAGAGCTTACTGTGTCAGCTTTCTATAGATATTGGTGGACCTTTTCTGGGATGTTTATTTATTTTTGTTGATCTATTATGTATTCTTACGGTGGTACCATTCTTTCTCATGTAGCTCCATTTGTAAAATAAATATGTGTGAATACAATTGTATATATGGTATATGTGGACAAGCCCACGAGTTATTCTTTAGAATATCTTGGCTGTTTATGGATATTTACAATTACGTGTACATTTTAAAATTGGTTAGAATTTTATGGAAATTCATTGGAAATAGTGATCTATTTGTGGAGAACAGTTGTCTAAGAGCGTGTACTATGTTTTTTGTGTATTTCAGTCTGTGTGCCATTTAATAGTGTTTCATAGTTTTTTCATTAGAAGCTCTTATTTAACTGTACTCCTGTTTGATACATTTTACCCTTACTAAAAATATATCTTTTTAAAATTACTCAACTGCTTGTTACTGTATATAAACGAAATATTTAAAATAATCGTTACCTTGATATTTATTTTGTAATCTGAATACTGTCACCACTATAAATCATCTGTACTATCCTTGGAAGTTCTTTCTACATAACCAGTTATTTAACCTGAAAACATAGATTGGGGTGTTTTTTCTTTTCAACATTCTTATTTCTTTACCTTTTTTCTTTTTCTTTTTTGGTATGTATTGGGTACAACCTCTACAATAACACTGACTAAGAATGGAATAATATATGTCATCAGTTTTTACCTGCTTTTACTAGAAAAGTATTGACATTTTCTGCAAGTATGTGGCCAGTTTCTTCATATCTGATTATGGCCAAAACCCTCTAACATGGCTTGCAACTTTTACATTTGCCCCCACACACAGATTCTTTAAGATCTGTCATATCATTTTTCATCTTTGATCAAAGGTGTAAAATTGCTTTGCATTTTACTCAGATGAGAAGCTGGAGTCTTTTCAGGAGTCAGCACTTTCCCCAGAACATGATACGCCCATTGGCTCCAGTCACCTCTTCAAATTCATCTGCTGTTTTCTTTCCAGCATCTCACCCTGCTCTGGTCATGCTGGGGTTTGGGTCTCCCTAAAACATACCAGGCACACTCCAACCTGCTGACCTGTGCTCTGGTGTTTCCTCCTCCTGGAACAGTCTATTCTCAGCTGTCCCTTCGGTAATTCCTTTGCATCTCTCAAGTCTTAGCTCTGATCATTGTTTTCAATGAACTCAATTAATTAGGCTATTGCGGTCTCAGGGCAGATGACTGCCCCCCAAACTGGAGGGACACATAGGAACTCTGCTCCTGTGGTTCTACTCTGGAATGATTGTATCTGCCTATGTGTTCCTCCAGTTTGGGGGGCAGTCCTTTTCCTATGACCTTAAACTCTTGGTTCAGTATGTTCAGCTGTTTCTTGCGGATGTGAGTGATGACTTCCAAGCTCTTGTCAGATCAAAACCTGAAAGTATTCATTTGTGTTTTGTATCATTACTATTGTGTTTACTTTTTTGATAGTATTTATTCATGCTGCTTTTATTCTTCCAGTGCCCCAGTGTACATGTTTACCCTTTGCTAATGACCATTTCATTTTGTGAATAAATAGTGTATCTTCCCTTTCCAACCCATGAAGGTCAGTGGCACTCTTTCACTGCTATACTCCTATACTGGAAGTTCTTAAAGTCAGTGAGTATCTGAAGTATATATGAGTGTTTGCAGAATCATCACAGAGCGCTTCCAAGTTTTTAGAATTAAAAATATATTTATTTTTCCTTACCAAGCCAGGTCTCCCTGGGTTGTGTCTCATGAAATAACTGTTTTACTTTTTCCTGCACTAACTCACTAAAGGTAAATATGCTTCTATTATCCGTCTCCTGACAATGCTGCATTTTTCATAGACCTTACCACCACATGACATTATATTGTTTTTGTTAGTTGTTCTCTTAGTTTTTTACTGCTTCTATGAAAGAAATACCACAGGTGGGTGGCTTTAACAAACAGAAATTTATTCCTTCACAGTTTAGGAGGCTAGAAGTCTGAATTCAGGGTGCCAGCTCCAGGGGATGGCTTTTTGTCTCTGTGGACTCTGGGGGAAGGTCCTTGTCATCAATCTTCCCCTGGTCCAGGAGCTTCTAAGTGAAGGGACCCTTGGTCCAAAGGACATGCTCTGCTCCTGGCTGTTGCTTGGTGGCAGGAGGTCCCCCTGCCCCCCATGCTCACATTTCTCTTTAATATCTCAAAAGAGATTGACTCAAGATACAACCTAATCTTATAGATTTCGTTCTGCTTCATTAACTGCCTCTAATTCTATTATTAACATCTTAGAGGTTAGGGTTTACAACACATAGGCAATTTTATCAGATTACAAAATGGAGGACATCCACACAATACTAGGAATCATGTCCTAGCCAAATTGACACACATCTTTTGGAGACACAATTCCATCCGTAACAGTTGCTGTGGAGTCAATTCTGACTCAGCAACCCCGTGTGTGCAGAGCTCCATAGAATTTTCAAGGCTCTGATGTGTCAGAAGAGATCGCCAGAACTGCCTTCCAAGGAACCTCTGGGTGGCATTGAACCAACAGCCTTTTGATTAGCAGTCAAGGCTTAATACTTGTGCCACCCAGGGAACTTCACATTATATTTAGTTTATTTACCCCCCCACACCCAAAGAAGTTACGATTCATGTGTATCTGGATATTTCTGGTTTGTTCAGTGCTGTATCTGCTTTCCCTATGTGAAGTTGCCTCTGTGTCCATATTACCTAAAGAGTTTAAATAAACGGCAGAGCTAGATGTACTGGTGCAGTGCAGTGAATTACTTAATATGGCCTTTCTGGCCATAGTCTTTGTAACTCCAACCAAATGATTGGGTGGGGCCATGCTAATAAGGCATATGGAACCCTAAATGAGGGGATTGGTCAGCTTTGCCATCCTTCTAGGCTTAAAATGAGGCATATCAGAGGTGCGAAGAGAGATTTTCACCAGGACCAAAGAAGTAGAAGCAGGAGTGGGGGGTGCCCTTTGGACCTGGGGTCCCTGTGACTCAGGAGACAGAGAGTTGTAGCACTGAAGACAGCAAGATGTCCAGAAGCAGCAGCAGTGGAATGGAACAGCAGAGGCAGCAGAACCAGTAGGCTGGCAGAAGACAAGAGACAGCATGGTGGTCTTCCTAGCCCACAGTGCAAGAAAGCTGAGTGCCTCCAGGCAGGAGGCTTGCGGGTGGGCTAGGGTGCCTACTGGCACTTGGTGGAGCTAAATTTGCTGGCCCAGAAAGCTAGAGCTGAGCACCTTCAGGCCTAGGCTTCCTGGAAGACTGAGGTAGTTCAGGGTACTTACTTGAAGAGCTAAAATAGCTTTGTAACACTTGCCCGAGCAGGGCAGAGGACGAGACCAGAGAGAGGCGGGTAGGCGGGCAAGCTGAGAAGAGACTTGTCATGATGGAAGAACTGTATCCTAAGCCTTCCTGAGAGTGAATTGTAACCAGTTACTTCCCTAGTAAATCCGATAATCATGAGTAGTGCCTGTGAGTTCCATGTGGCCATTGCAGTGAATTACCGAACTCAGAAGAGAAGTAGAAAATGCTTTGGGTGGGAAAGTTGGTATCGGAATTGGTAAAGATGGCAGAGAGAGGAGGCATGTCTGCCTTCTGCCTCACAGGAATCAGCCTTGGGCTGTTCTTGATTTTCACTCTACCTTGTGAAGTTATAGGTCAGACACTGCTTCTTCCACGCAATTATTACAGAGGGCCTGAAGGGAAGTATTCTTGCCTGAGACACTGGGCTTTGCCAGGAGAAGGAGATCCAGGTTGTCTGAATAGGATGTTTCCTTTGTTTCCTGTCCCCATTACCCAGCAGGCTGTAGATCATGCATGTAATTGAGGAGTAACAGCCAGAATAACAAGAAAACTGTAGGCATATGCAGAGAAATGTAGTTGTCAGGAATTTAGTCTTCGGCATGTTGACCTGCATTCTGACCGTGGGTTAGCAACATACCATTTGGTTAACACTGACTAAGTGATAAATTGTAATTTATCACATGATAACCCGTTTGAAGCAATATTTACTTAGGAGGGGCATGAGGAATAATGAACTAGCGTGCTGAAAGTTTTTTGCAAATCCATTGAAATATTTTAATTGCTCAATGAATGCAGCATTTTATCATGAATATGTTATAGAAATGGAAGTAAGGGTTTTTCTTTGCTCTAAAATACATAACGTGCACTGCAGTGGAGCAGATTTTTGAATGTGGCAGTGGATCAAAGATTGTTGTGACAGTATCATACCAGGATTCATTAGGAATGACCCGGACAGCTCATTTCACCCCGTAGCTATCTGTTCTACAGTCGTCAGCTGTTCAGTAAAATTGTAGCATCAGAAGTGCCGTGTACCTGCCTTTTGTATCATCATTACATGTAGGGAGCTAAATGGTTGATGTTATTTTACGGATGCCAGTTCTGCATCCCAGACAATGCCAGTGGTCAGGTTTAGGTGATCATGCTCGTGTACCTTCCAAGGGCTGCAAAAGTGAGAAAATTTTGGAGTGGATCGTCTGCAGGGTTTCCTAGGATGCACGAGTATTGTTACAGCTAAATTCCCTGCACATCAGTGAACTTACTAGAAAATGTGAATCTTAACCTCTTGTTCATGGTCAGCAAACACAAGGGCATGCTATTCTGATTCTTCAAAGATTAGGCTCTTTGTCATAATATTAGTGTGTTTGTGGGTATCTGGGTTTGATTTGTTGAAGGGAGGGTCACTCATAATTGCTGTACAGTAGCTTTGGGTCTCAAAGTTTGAAAATTTGATATCTAGATTCTCTTGTTTCCGGTGTCTCAGCTGATGTCCGTTTACCTTTTCAATACCCTTGCCTGTCTCCATGAAGGGACGAAGTGCATGACAGTGCACTTGTAGAGTTATTGAAAAGTAGGTGAGAGACCTGTAAAAATTTGCAGTTCCTCAAAATATTTTCTTTTTATCAGGTGGTCTTGTCGGCCCCCGATCACCTGGAGTTCTTTAAGAAAACATGAGAAGCTTCATGCCTTGGGTTGGGTTACCCCTTCGTATAGGCCACTGGAGCCCCCATGGCTGCTGAAGGGCAAAAGGAAACACTGCCAGTCTTGCAGTCTTTCCCAGTTGTTAACATTTCATCCTACTTTCACTTTGTGTTTCATGTTTTGTTAAATAGTCTGCAGGGTCCTTGCAAGGAGGTGAACTTCTTTTTATTTCACAAGGAAGAGATGATCCGAATATGGAAATAGGGTGTTCACTGTAGAGCATTTGTCCAGTTGATGCTGTGTTCTGACCATTCTAGACCATAAAGGTAGAGAGGAATGAGACTACAACTGGTTACAGTCAGACAGTGGAGAGATAAGTTCATTGTGTTGAAAGGATTAAGTCTATGAGACAGGATGCAGTCCGTGAGGAAGTCAGTGTAGACAGTGAAGGGATAAGGTGGATGGCTAACCCCTAGAGTAGACCTTAGTAGAACACAAAACTTAAATCCCCATGAAATGTCAGTTCTCCAGCACTGTTAGCTTTACCCTTCGTTTCACACACATTGGAGTACATGGTATCTGCTGAACTAGAATATGTCATAATTTTTAGGACTCAGTGGTTGTTGAGGATGTGGCTGTGGACTTTACACAGGAAGAGTGGGCATTGCTGGATCATTCTCAGAGGCAACTCTACAGAGATGTGATGATGGAAATCTTCAGAAGCCTGACCTCAGTAGGTATGGATTAAAAAAACAAACCCATTGAGGACCAAAGTCTTGGCTGAGTCAGGAAAGTGTTCATTGCTCCTCCCTGTTTCCCTTAATGGTAAGCCTTTCTCCATGATCACCACATCAGCTACACCCACTTATTCTCCTAGAGTAGCAAGAGGAAGACTTGAGGAGAGTGTAGATAGCACTTGTCCAGGACCACTGTATTGGCAGCCCAGGAGGCAAGAATCGTTTGAAGGACTGGGCCTGCATGGAAGGAATGAGATTTGAAAAAATCAATTAGAAAAAGTCTCTTTTGGGTTGAAGAGTTTGTGCTTTACAGATACCTGAGTTTGCTTTTTTGACTTTCATCAATCCTAACACACCTGGTTCATGGAGAAAGACTGTCCTCTTTTCATGTTCCACATAAATTGTGTCCAAACCTTTCTACTTTGGTCTTCTAATTACACCCTATTTATATCCCCATCACTCTCAATCTTCATGGAAGTTATGTGCTAGTAAATTGCTTTCTCAATGTTGCCAAAGTACGGAAATAGCAAAATATGTCAGAAGCTTTCTTTGCTTACAGCTACCTTTTCTATTTTCTCTCCTTTATGTTTCATGGTGTGAACCTCAACTTAAATCGTTGGGTCAGCTTCTCAAAACCTTATTGACGGAGACAAGCTATCCACTGAAAATATAATAGTACGATTCATGAAAAATGACACCTGGTCCTCGATGGTAGGAGAAATCTGTGAATTGCCTGGCACTGAAGATCAGAATAACAACCAGAAAACACATATGAGGTGAGTGTCATTTATGCGAGAGACAGCGGTGCTTCAGGAGAGTCTTCAGGAGGTATAATGACATTAAAATATTTATATGCTTAAGGACCCCATGTGGGACAAATGGTTAGGCACTCGATTGCTAACAAAAAGATTGGAAATTCGAACCTATCCAGTGGGTCTGTGGGAGAAATACCTGGCAATCTGCTTCAGTAATAATTAGAGCCAAGAAAACCCTACGGAGCAGTTCTCTGCCACATGGGATCACTATGAACTGGAATTAACTCAGCAGCACTGAAACAGTAAGTATACACACCCACACATACATATGCATGTGCACACACATGTATGTGTAGAAACCTATTACTGTCGAGTCTATTCCGACTCATAGCAACTCTGTAGGACAGAGTAGAACTGCCCCATAGGGTTTCCAAGGCTGTAATCTTGTGCCATCCAGTTATATATATATAAGAAAACAGGTCTAGTATTGTGTTCACAGAATTTTCACAGGACAAGATTTTCGTAAATGTGAGTCAGATATTTAATATTTGAAACATTTCACATAAATACAATTGTTAGCACCATGTTTTAGAAACAGTAAAAATAATGGTAGAATGTCTGCTAGATGATTTAATCTATGAAACGAGAGACTTCAGAGTAAACATGTTTGATGTGTATTGTAATGGTGTAATACTGATAAATTTGTGTCCAACAACATGCTACCTATTTTTAACAGGAGGTATATGTTAGAGAACCTCTATGAAAGTAATGAAGACAATCATTGTGGACAGACCTTCAGCCAGATTCCAAATCTTTCTGTGCTCAAAAGAACTATGGAACTATATCCTTCTGAATGTCTTGAGTGTGGAAAATCCTTGATGAATCATTCATCACTTAAGCATCATATCAAATCTCACTCTGGATGCAGTGCCTATCAGTGTAAGGAATGTGGAGAAGCCTGCGGTTGTCCTTCTTACCTCAGCACTGCAATGAGAACTCTTACTGGACAGAAATCCTATGAATGTAAAAAATGTGGCAAGGCTTTTAGTCAGTCCTCACACCTCAATTCACATATAAGAACTCATGGTGAGAGGCCTTGTGAATGTAAGGATTCTGGCAAAGCCGTTAGTGATTCAGCAAACCTCACTTCACATATACAAACTCACAGTGGTAAGAAGCCTTATGAATGTAAGGAATGTGGCAAAACCTATTGTTACTCCTCAAACTACACTATCCATATGAGATCTCACAGTGGTGAGTGGCCTTATGAATGTAAGCAATGTGGCAAAGCCTTTCTTCGGTCCTCATCCCTCACTTCACATATCAGAACCCACAGTGGTGAGAGGCTTTATGAATGTAAGGAATGTGGGAAAGCCTTTAGTCGCTCCTCACACCTCACTTCACATGTAAGAACTCACAGTGGTGAGAGGCCTGATGAATGTAAGGAATGTGGTAAAACCTTTCGTTACTCCTCAGCCTACACTATCCATATGAGAACTCACAGTGGTGAGAGGCCTTATGAATGTAAGGAATGTGGCAAAACCTTTCGTTACTCCTCAAACTACACTATCCATATGAGAACTCACAGTGGTGAGAGGCCCTATGAATGTAAGCAATGTGGCAAAGCCTTTCGTAGGTCCTCATTCCTCACTTCACATGTAAGAACTCACAGTGGTGAGAGGCCTTATGAATGTAAGGAATGTGGCAAAACCTTTCATCACTCCTCGTACCTCACTGTACATAGGCGAACTCACAGTGGTGAGAGGCCTTATGTATGTAAGGATTGTGGCAAAGCCTTTCGTAACTCCTCAGACCTCACAGTACATAGGAGAACTCACAGTGGTGAGAGGCCTTATGAATGTAAGGAATGTGGCAAAGCCTTTAGTCGGTCCTCACACCTCACTTCACATGTAAGAACTCACAGTGGTGAGAGGCCTTACGAATGTAAGGAATGTGGGAAAGCCTTTAGTCGGTCCTCACACCTCACTTCACATATAAGAACTCACAGTGGAGAGAGGCCCTATGAATGTAAGGAATGTGGGAAAGCCTTTAGTCAGTCCTCACACCTCACTTCACATGTAAGAACTCACAGTGGTGAGAAGCCTTATGAATGTAAGGACTGTGGCAAAGCAGTTAGTGACTCCGCAAACCTCACTTCATCTATAAGAACTCACAGTGGTCAGAGGCCTTATGAATGTAAGGATTGTGGCAAAGCCGTTAGTGACTCTGTAAACCTCACTTCACCTATAAGAACTCACAGTTGTGAGACGCCTTATGAATGTAAGGAATGTGGGAAAGCCTGTAGTCGCTCCTCACAGCTCACTTCACATGTAAGAACTCACAGTGATAGGAGGCTTTATGAATGTAAGGAATGTGGCAAAACCTTTCGTTACTCCTCAAACTACACTATCCATATGAGAACCCACAGTGGTGAGAGGCCTTATGAATGTAAGCAATGTGGCAAAGCCTTTCGTCGGTCCTCATCCCTCACTTCACATATCAGAACTCATGGTGAGAGGCCTTAGGAATGTAAGGAATGTGGCAAAGTCTATAGTCACTCCTCACACCTCAGTCCACATATGAGATCTCACTGTGGAGAAAGACCTTAGAAATGTATGGAATGTGGCAAAGCCCGTTGTTAATCTTCAGACCACACTAAACATGGGAACTCACAGTGGTGAGAGGCCTTATGAATGTAAGCAATGTGGCAAAGCCTTTTGTCGGTCCTCGCACGTCACTGCACATATAAGAACTCACAGTGGTGAGTGACATTATGAATGTAAGTACTACAGCAAAGCCTTTTCTCAGTTCTCACAGCTCACTAGACATATAAGAATTCACAGTGGAGAGAGGCCTTAGGTAAGGAATGTGGGAAAGCCTTTAGTTATTCTTTATCCCTCACTGAATACATAAGAAATCACCCTGGAGAGAAATATGTTGAATATATGGAATGTGGGAAATTTTGTGATTCCTCAAACCTCAGTAATCTTAAAAATTCATGGCTTAGAGATGCTTTATAAATGTAGGCAGTTTGGCCATGTAAATGAATTATGATGAAGAAACAACCAATGGTTAATTGCAGACATTCACTTCACCCTTTAAGCCCCTACAAATAAGGTCAGTTTCCTACCAGAACAACCCAGATCTTCATTGTCCCTCAAAACAAATGAAAATTTCTCCAGTTGTCCATTAATTATCTGACTGTTGGGTTTTTTGAAGTTAGGATCCAAACCATATTTCCACATTAACTTTTTATTTCTAGATCTGCTTAATCTGTCTTACACAGAACATTCTTTTGCTTGTCTTGTAAATGTTAAAACGTTCAGGATTCTGAATACAGTCTAACCTGTGACAGCCAGCACCTGTGTAAGAAACCAGTCAGAGAAGAAAAACTCAGTGGGTGTTTATGATGTAGGATTCTTAATAGAGAGCAAAAGGAAAGTGATAAGCACCCAATAAAAGGTGGAAAATACGCAAGACCTGGTAAAACAAGGCACTCCCATCGCATTCTGGCTCTCACAGGTTTTACTGTATTTGTGTTATGATTTTGTTTAATTAGTCTTAAGTATTTTTTGTAATACAGACATTGAGTCTTGCACAGTTCTAATAGAAACGTAATGCACGTAAAAAATGTAATTTAAAATATTTTAGCAGCCATATTGGACACATGAAAATGTAAATGTGAAATTTTTAATGAAAAATCTTATTTAACCCAATATGTCCATTTATTGTCAAGGTAAAAATTATAAATTAAATTAAGGAATAAGAATTTATGAGACATTTTATATTTTCTTCTTTAGTACTCCATCTTCCAGAATCCAGAAGCAGCACGTTTCATAAATGTTACTGTTGAAAAGTAGAATCACAATTCCAGGTTGCTCCAAGCATACTTTTCCAATAATTGAATCAAGTTTATTGTTATATTTAATAAAAATTAGAGTTTATTCAGTTTCTTAGTTTCACCAACCAGATAGATTGTTGATACAACCTTATTAGTGTTTTAATGCAAAAGAAGTCCCTGGATTACTTTGTACTTTCCTGTTCCAGATCTGGAATCAACCCTTTCTCCCCAAACTGCTGGTTCCTTTTAAAAACCAAGGTGTGTGAAATACATGGGCTCAGTGATAAACCAGAAACTGTTACCATTGAGTCAGTCTTGTCTCGGCCTTCCAGTGAAAATAGAAAATACGTTATTTCTTACATCGTAAATTCATGCTTATTCATAATAACAAATTTAAGGTTATATACGTATTTATATAAATAAATATGTAAATGTATAAATTATATAAGTATACATATAAGAAGTGGTGCTGGACAATGTTAAATATGCAAAATTGTGCTGGACGGTGTTAAATAGGGAAACTAGACTTTATTCAGCCTGTTGCAATAGGAAGGAGTCTTCAGGATAAGTCTGAATTCAGCCCCAAAGGGGAGGGTGAGGCAAGAGGTTTTTTATGCGTTCTGGGTGTCATGGGGCACTGGAAACTTCCTAGTTTGAAGCTGGCAACTAAAAACATGGCAGGAAGATGGGTTTCAAGCAAGAACTCTAATAGTTTTCAGAAATGTTTGCTCACAGCTGATTTATTAGGCTAAAGCAAGGAACATTCACGGGATAAAAGTAAATTATTAGCAAATGTCACTGTTATTTTATATTTGCATCTCTTAATAAAACCCTTGGTTCCTAATAATACACAAATAGTTTCAATGTCATAATACTAATAGAACTGACTAAAAACTTACTTTCTCAATTACTGAGTTTTTCGCCTTTCTTTTTCTACGTACTGGTTATACATTTACATTAAGGATATTAACACATGGTTGTCATGCTTAAAAATTGGCTTCAGCACAAACTTGTCCATGGTTATATGATCAGTTTGATACTGTTTCCTGCCATCAAGTTGGCTCCAGCTCATAGTGACCTTATTTATGTTGTTGTGTGCCATGGAGTCGATTCGAATTCTTAGCAACTCCATGTGACAGAGTAGAATTGCCCCATAGGGTTTTCTTGGCTGTAATCTTTTCAGAAGCAGACTGCCAGCTCTTTCTCCCATGGAGCTGCTGGGTGAGTTTGAACTGTGAATGAATTGGTTAGTAGCCAAGTGCTATACCATTGCACCTCCAGGGCTCCTTGACCTCCTACATAACAGGACAAAATGTTGCCCAGTTCTGCACCATCTTCATGATCATTGCTATGTTTGAGTGATGCCAACCCAGAGGGCTCATCTTTCAGCACTGTATCAGTCAGTGTTCTGTTGTGATCCATAAGATTTTCATTGACTGATTTTCTCAAGTAGATTGCCAGGTTTTTCTTCCTATGCTGTTGAAGTCTGTAAGCTCCACTAATGCTTGTCCACCATGGGTGACCCTCCTGGTATTTGAAATACTGGTAGTATAGCTTCCTGTATCAGCAACATGCCAGCCATCACAGTATGTCAGACTTGCAGATGGGCAGTGACAGTTTGATATTATGTTTATGTGTTTCTGTGTACATTTCATATTAAGGTTTGCTTTCACTTTGAATTATTTCCTTTTACCTATAAAACGTTCACATGGTTCAAAATTGAAGACTATATGAAAAGCTGTATTCAGAAGGATGACTTCCTCCTATCGTACCTGTGTTCTGTTAATATCACCACCAGTTGCTAACCATTTCCATTTTGTTTCCTGTGTAACCTTCCAGTGTTTCTCAGAAATATCCCTCCCCCCGAATACAGACATACATACGTGAGTGTATGTTGGTTATTTATCATGTTTTCACGTAAATGTACTTCTTTCCACTTAATATATACTGGACATCAGTCTGTCTTGTATCATAGTATACAGGAGACCAAAGCATAGGCATTGGCAATGGCTGTGCCCGTGTGTGATGGAGCCCAGGAGGGCTTTTGGACACTTTCCTTCTGTCTCAGAATGTCCTTGGTCAATGTTGTTGTGTGCTGTCAAGTCCATTCCAACTCAGTGACCATATTAGGATAGAGTAGAACTGCACCATAGGGTTTCCTAGGCTGTCATCTTTATGGGAAGAGATCTCCACGCATTTTCTCCTGTAGCATTAGGTGTTTTCTAACCACTGACGTTTCAGTTAGCAGCAGAGCACTTAACCACTATGCCACTAGGGCTCCTTCCTTGGCCAATAACCACGTGTAAATATCCTGTTATTTCACCTAATAGTACCTTGTTAGGCAGTGCTCATCAACTGGTGAACAAAATAACCAAACTCTTCAAAGTCTTTGTTTCTTTTTACATGTAGATGGAAAATGTTCAGTTTTAAACCTATGGTTCAGATGTTTAATATCAATGATACAATTCCTAGCCCTTTAAGGCCCGTCTATTTACGGACAAGTATTTTATGGGGCCTAGTCTCTGAAAGAACACTGGTGGTGCAATGGTTAAAGAACTCAGCTGCTAACTGAATGGTCGGCGGTTGGAACCCACCAGCTGCTGTGGGGTAGAATGCTGTCGCAGTCTGCCTCCGTAAAGATTTACAGCCTTGGAAACCCTATGGAGCAATTATGCTCTGCCCTTATTTTCACTATGACTCAGAATTGACTTAATGGCAATGGGTTTGGTTTTTGTTTTGGTTTAGTCTCTTTGAGCCCCCACCCATCTGTCCCTTTGTTGTACTGTGATGGCTTACATGTTGCTGTGATGTCTGCAATCTGTGTGACTGGTATTTCAGATACCAGCAGGGTCACCCAGGTGGACACGTTTCAGTGGGGGTTCCAGAGTAAGACAGACTAGCAAGAAATGCCTGGCAATCTACTTCTAAAATTAGCCTGTGATATCCTTATGGATCAGAATAGCATATTGCCTGACAGGAATGAAACATGCCAATGATCATGAAGATAGCACAGGACTGAGCAACTTTGCACTCTATTATACCTAGGATCTCCATGAGGTAGAGCACAATGGGCAGCTAATTACAAAGTCTTTGTGAGGCACAGACAGAAGGGGTTGGGAATTCTGAGCCACAGACCTACAGTTCTGTGTGACTCCACTAAATGGTGCTGATGATCCTCCTAACCCTTAAATCCTTCTGTGTCTAAGCAGGTGTTTTTCTCATGGAGTGTCTGGAGAGGGCACAGAGGGAGACATTGAGATTTTTTTAAATCTCTGTTTTGGGATGCCTAAATGTAACAATGGAGCCCTGGTGGCGCAGTGGTTAAGAGCTCAGCTGCTCAGCAAAAAGCAGTTTGAATCCACCAGCCGCTCCTTGGAAACCCTGTGGGGCAGTTCTACTCTGTCCTGCAGGGTTGCTATGAGTGGGAATCAGCAGCAGGTTTTTGGTTTTTTTGAATGTAGTAATAATAACCCCAAGGTAGTATCAAATTGGTCTGTTCTCTGCCACTAGAGTGAAGACTTTCAGTTTTAAACCCAGGGTTCTGTTTGTGCAGATTTAAGAGTCAAACCCCACCTTGATCTGATAGGACCCATTTCTTGGGTGATTTAAAGCAATGCAGAGACCCTCATTTTTAAATAACCTGGAGTAGATTGTTTACATTGGAGTCTGGATAAAAGGTTCCCTGACCTCTAGGGGTCGTCAGGTCTTTGCCCATGGAGAGAGGAGGGGACAAGGACCCCAGAGGTTTCCTAGTGGGTGAGATGTGAGTCCTGGACCCCTTTTCCCTCACAGTGGCTCAGTCCCCTTTTTACCGAGGGACCCATGTATTTACCCTGGCAGAAACCTTATGGGGCCAAATTCTTGCCAACCCCTTAGCTACGTGACCATGAGC